TTAGCAATCGATCGCGAATAATGCAAACTAAATCATTCATTCAATGATTCATTCAACGAAACTAAATATTCTAGAAAACGAAAAATGAAATGAAAACAAGAAAAAGTCAAATTATACATGAAACCAAAGATCCATCCATCGGTTTACAAGGACAGCAATTGGTATTTGTTTTGATATTCGATACCAACAGAAAAAAAATAACGCTTCACAGCGGGTTCAGATCTTTTGTTTTGGTAGTTTTTATCCCCATTTTTTCCTTTCTCTATCTCTCCACCCCTATTGCTCTCATGTGGTCAGCACATATAGCCTTTATTTTTCATGTTTATTAAAGCCGGAAATCTTGTTTGATCGTCTTATTCCATCATTCCCTATTTTCCCGTATATTGAAATGGTAGAAAACTTCATTTATTATTATGAATTCCAAATGTAATAAAAGTGTTTTTGTTTCGTTTTTTGGCGGTGATGGGTATATTTTTTTTTTTTTTTGTTTTTGTTTTTAGTTGTTCTAAAGATCTGTTGTCTGTTGTTTGTTGTCGACAACGACATTTGGAATAGAATTTGAGTGTCTCAGAATTTTTCATGAAGAAATATAATATTTTGTTGTTTCAATAACAATGTAAAACAACTGACATAATGAAATTGGTTTTTCATTACTCAAAACAAAAAAAATTTTTCTCCTGATCCAAACCAGGAGAATTTGTTTCTTTCGGTTCTTTTTTTCTTCGCTTATCGTTTATTCTTTGTTGTTATTCCAGAATTTTTGTTTTCAATTTTCAATCCATATGGATTTATAGTTTGTTTTTTACTTTTTTGTTCGAAAGTTGTTTTATTTTCGTTACTTTACTTTTGTTCTAATTTTATCTTTTTTTTGTATGTTTATCATTTGGTTGGTTGGTTTTTTAGTTGCTAAAAAACAAAAATCACATCAAATATTCAAACAAATGGATCATCTTTTTATACACAAATGTTTATCATTACAGCTATACAATTGCATTTGGAAAAAAAGACAGAAAATATGAATTTTGATTCTTTGGAATGAAAAACTTTTCCCAACTAAATCTTTAAGCCGTGTGTGCGGGTGTGTGTGTATGAATCAATAACAACAAATCATTGAAAAAATATTCGATTCCTTCATTTAACATTTTCATTTTTCTTGTTTTGGTTGAAAAAATAAAAAACACACAATATTCTTGCTGAAACAAAAATCTTATTCTTTTTTATGATTTTTTTTCTTTTTCATTTCGAATTCTACATTTGTCTTTTTAGTTAGTTTTTGTTTTCAGCTTCATCATGAGATATGACGCTTATACACCATATGTTTAGGTTTTCTGTATGTTCTATTTTTCAGCGTTTTATTCCATCTTATTCTTTTCATTATTATTAATTCGCTTTTATTTTAGGATTCTATACCGTTCCCAAGACGACAAGCCTAAACCGATTCTTCATTTATAGTTTCTGTTTGTCTAGTGTTTATGTGTGTGTATGCGTGTGTTGGCATCGCTTTGATTAATTACAAGTAAAGCAATATTTTACAATGTATGTATGACAAACAAACAAAAAAAAGAAAGAGAAAAAACCTATTATTTCAATACCGCCAACGATGTTTTATATTATAAAAAAAGATGATGACCGATTAAGATGATGATGATGATGATGATGATGATGACAATGAACAAAAAAAAACAAAGTGATAATAACGAGAAAAATATTCATTATATAATGTTGCAAAATAAATGAATGGGATAAAAATATCACATACACACAGAACATATACAGTAAGCGGAAATTTTTCTCTTAGATCCATCTTGGATCTCTTATCTTTCTTTTGCTTTATTCTGGTCAATATTCATTCATATATTGTTTAGTGGTTTTGATTATTCTGTATGTTTGATACATAAATGATGATGATGATGATGATGATCAAAAATTTCTATAGTTTCCTATACGCTTATATCGAAAAATATATACCCATTATCTCTTTAAACATGGCTATAGCTATCATTATTATTGATACAATGGTTTTTCATCATTTTTTTTTTTTTTGAATAGATAACGTCTTCATTAATATATATAGTAAATCATCATAGTTATATAATATAAAATAACTGTTGTAATAAAGTAAACAATTGTTTCAATCATTTTCAAACTATCAAGTTTTCTTATCATTAAATTTGTATTTAACAGAAAAAAAACTATTTAAGCCTTCTCAGATCACATTCATATGACACAATTCAACATTAAAATCAATGAAAATTGAAGAAAAAAACCAATCGATTAATGACAACAATAATTTTAATGATGATGATAAATATTTGTTATTTTTCTTTGTTTTTATTTTCCATCCACCACCAAAGACAAATGATGATCATTTGATGGTGGAGAAGAAAAAAATTTAGCTTTTTTTTAAAAAAAAGAACCGTGAAAAAAAATAACCAAACTTTTTCATTAGGTTTTTTTTCTGTATTTGTGTTTCGTGGTTCCATTTGCAATCGGGTTTTTTTTTTTTTTTTTTTTTTTTGTTTGTTCATTTTTGCCCACATTGTTGGCAAATTCAATGGAAACAAAATGAAGAAAAAAAAAATTGTTCATGTTTTTTTTTGCAAAATGCAAAACTACAAGCCATCATTGTTCATCAAATTTTTGTTTTTTTTTCTCAATTTTCTTTTTTATTATTTGTATCACATTTGATTTTATTTTCTGGTCGGTATATAGCGAAGAAATCGTATATTAATGACAAAATTTCTGTCAAAAAAACTGAAAATGAACGAAAAGTGATATTATCAATGGTATTATGAAAAATTGACAAATCAAACAATCATATACTTTGTTTGTTTGTTTTTTTTCCATAGAAATAGAACAAAATGTCGTATAAACAAAGAAAATTCTGAATTTCTACTTATAAACATAGATAGATAAAAATGAATGACATTAGATTTTTCGTAGCTCATCATCATCATCATCATCATTATTTTCAACAAAGTAGTATATTTTAGATATGGAAATTCGATGCCCAATATATATATGAATCATTATAATTCAATGTATATATATCATATACATTATTTTTTTATTTTTTATTCCATAGTAATGTTGTATTTTACAACATTTTATCACCATATATATTCATTGTGCGGTTGTTTGTCTGCATGAATCGAATATACAATTATTACATGAATGAATGTTCATCCATTACTTTTCATTGTGAATCTATCATTTTTTGATTGGCTCTCAAATGCTTTAGCGATGATGATGATGATGACAATAGAATCAAAAAGTAGATTGCGTGACATGAAAGACAATCATCAATGTATTTTAATGTATGTAATTCAAACAATAAAATGAACACTATTGCTTTTCCGTTGTGTTTTTTTTCTGTTTTGTTTTGTTATGATCTTTACACTTTTCTTTTATTTTGATCTAATTTTTTTTATTCGTCTAATTCTAGTGGTTTTTTTTCTTGTTCCATTAATGTTTCTGGATAAATGTAATGAAAATGATTTTTTTTTCAGCAATCCTTTTTTTTTGTGCAATATTGTGGTAATACAGCAAACACATTTAGTGGCAATGCTACACCGATTATGAACCTTATATAACTAGATAGATTTTTTGGTTTTTTCAATCTTCTTAAAGCAAAAAAAAAATGGATCCAAACACCAATAAGAATGAAACATATGGCCAAAAAAAAAATCTATCATCGATCGAGAAGAAAAGAAAAAAAAATACAAACACGAAAATCAGAATTTCAGAAAAGGAAACAAGCAAAAAAAAAGACAGAAAAATCCTAATGAATCTTTTAACTAGAATCACGAAGTAAAAAAGCCGAAAAAAATAAAGAAAATAATTCCGATATCGACTGGTATTGGGTGTGTGTGTGTGTGTGTGTGTGTTGGATTTGTTGCATTAATACATTTCCTTACATTTCTTTCTACAATGGCTATGCATATATATATGTTTTTAATTTAATAACGGCAACAAAAATAAAAAAAAATTAGAGCAAATGAAAGTGAAGAGAAAAAGTAAACGTTTAGTTTAGTTTAAATCAATTTAATATTCTCTAATTTTTTTTCACTCTCATTTGTTCATATATGAACATTATCGAATTATTATTTGGCCAAGTTTGTGTGTGTGTAAGCTCATTTGAGGTTTTTTTTTCTCTTCGTTATGTGCAGAAAAAATCGATCCAATTTTTTTCTGGTTGTTTCGTTCCATTCAATTTATTATAAAACGGTCCATATGGAAGGAAAAAAAAGTATGATGATGAAATTACCAGAAAAAAAAATTTTCCACACATAATTTTGAAATTTCAATGCAAACGATATATCCACTGATGAATGAATTGTTATTTGGGTGGAAAATAAAATTCCGATATATTAAGCGAAACTTTTTTTTTTTTGTTAGCGCCTGTTTCCGTTGTCTGTCGTTCGATAAAGTCTCACTATATTTTTTTTTTTTTGGTCAAAAAGGCGGTAGAGTGATGGAACAAAAAAAAAACCATTTCGAATGTACATTTAAAAATGTCACGAAATCCGTTTATATATATTTAATGAACGTGGAGAGAAAAAAATTACGTAATATTTTTTAAAGTTTTATAAATATTTTTTTTCAGTTTGTCAGAAAATAAAAATCAAAAACTTTAATATAGCTTATTCACATTTTTTTCCCCGGGCCGGAATACTGATAAAGTTTTTTCACTGTCATCGTCGTCATTGATGGACAGCGATGGATGCAAACCACAGAATTTCGATAAACGAATTGATAATGAGAAAAACCAAAATGAAAAAAAGAAAAAAAAACTTTTCATTATAACTTCATAAAATTAGTTGGTTTGTTTTTCATCAAATTTTCATTTGGTACAATTGATCAGCAGAATAATATTGATTCAGTAACTTGTTTCTCTCTCTCTCTCTCTCTCTCTCTCTCTCTCTCTCTCTCTCTCTCTCTCTCTCTCTCTCTCTCTCACTCATTGTTTTGTTCTCATTTTCTCGTTTTTCTCTCAATAGATTTTTATTCAATTAAAAAAAAAAAAAAATTAACGTGAATATTCTAAAACTGTATGCTTTGGTTTTCTGTATACGTAAATGTTTCATGTTTCAAGTTTCAAACATCATCATCATCATCGTCGATTAAGTGCAATGATTGTTGACAATTATTTCATTTTGCCGGCACTAATCCTATTTGTTATGAAAATGTATTTGAATGAAAATCGTGAAATGGAAAAAGAAAAAGAATATCAACAAAAACAACGATATTGATCATGATCATGATTGAAATGAATAAAACAAAAACAATGTGATATTGACTTAACATCTTGTGTGTGTCAATCTTGTATCATAAAAATTATCATTCCATCCTCTTGTTATATAACCAAAAAAAAAACGCTAAATGTGTAAACAATACGATAACGAAGTAAAAATATAATCAAAAGATAATCTTTGAAAATAATTCAAAACACATCACTATCCTCGTCATCATCATCATCATCATCAGATCAATTTATTAATGTAAATGAGAAATGGAGAAGCTAAATCAAACAAACATTATGCCCGTTATTGTTACTACTATGATGACTACAACAAATAACATCAACAATACTTCGATTAATGCTGTTGCCGCTGTCAAAATTGATGTTAATTTTGAAGACAATACCATTGTTTATATTTTATCCGTAAGCCTAATTTTAGGCATATTGACTTGTTTGACTATTATTGGAAACGTATTTGTGATTGCTGCCATTATAATGGAACGTAATTTACGTACTACAGCTAATTATTTAGTATTATCATTAGCTGTTGCAGATTTAATGGTTGCCTGTTTTGTAATGCCATTGGGTGCCGTTAGTGAAATTCGTCAACAATGGTCATTAGGTACATTATTATGTGATATATGGACATCAGCCGATGTTATTTGCTGTACAGCTAGTATATTACATCTATTGGCCATAGCTTTGGTAAGTTTTATTTTCTTTTCTTATCAAAACAATTTTTTTTCTCTTTTTTTTCCACTGTTCATCGATCGATGATAAATTCAATCCAAATCATCAGTTCATATTATATTTCATTAACAATTCAGATTATTCTATCATATTGACGATGATTGTTGGATATTTTATTCAACAAATATCATTCTTTGGAAAAAAAATATATATCATTAAAATAACGTTTAGTGTACACTGTACAGTATAGTAAAATATACATCATGATCTATCAGTATTTTTCACAATTGATTGACCATCAATGATTGATGTGATTTAGTTTAATTTTTTGTTTTCTACAGTTGCTTGTGTCCAATCGATTGTACCAAAAAAAAAAAAAAAATCTGTAACTTTATGATGAACGATGAAAAACTTTCGCCTCGAATACTAGACTATTAACCAATAATTATTTAGGATTTTTATTATCACCCATCATCAGTGTAATGATGATTTTTTTTTACACTGGTACAACATCATGAAAAGAACCGATGAAGCGTCAATTATAATTGGAAATCAAACATTCTTTGTAAAACGGACATACACATTCTCTGTAAATGATTATTTTTTTTCCTTTGGTTCTTGTTTATTGTATTTTTTCCTATTGTTTATTGTGAATAGGACAAAAAAAAACAAATCAGATCAGCTGGTGGTTGTCCGTTCTGCAAACAAAAACATTTATACTCAGCCATAAAATGTGACATAAGTTGAAAGTTTCAACTTGCAACATTAAAATCGTTATATTATTATTGTATTATTGAATATAATAACATTGACAATTTTTTTTTGACCAAATCAATGTTCATCATTATAGCAACAACCATTATATCTACTATCAATATCAAACTAATGATGATTTTCAATATTGGTTTCAATAATAATAATAACAATTATTATTATTATTATTATCATTTTAGGATCGTTATTGGGCTGTTACATATGTTGATTATATACATAAACGTACATCACAAAGAATATGTTGGATGATATTCGCTGTTTGGGCCGTGGCAGCAATCGTTTCAATACCACCAATACTTGGTTGGAAAGATCCTTATTTTAATGTACGTGTTGAACAAGAAAAACGTTGTCTTATTTCACAAGATATTGGCTATCAAGTTTTTGCCACTATTTCTACATTTTACGGTCCATTAATATTTATTCTACTACTTTATTGGAAAATTTATCAGGTTAGTAGTCGATCATGATTTTCATTTTTTTTTCTTTGCTTTTGATTTTTTCTGAATTATTTTCTTTTTGGCTGATTTTGTCACTTATAAAAAATATTCAATATTCACTTCAAATGAAATGATGAATGTGACAAACGTATTTGATTGAAAAAATTGATAGTTTTTAAATTTTCGTTTTTTTCCAACATCATAACCGCTTATCATTGAATGTGTATGGGAATTCCCAGGAGTTAAAATCGTGATTCTAATCACTTGTGTATTGGCAGGAAAATTGTGTTGTGAATTTTTTCCAAAAGAAATTAATCGCATCGATTTTTTCAACTAAAAGCTTTTATAAATTATTCTGAATATATGAATCAAGTTCAATAAAAATATGACAAATAATAATAAATAATATTCTCTTAAAATATCATCACACATACATAGGTTGCACGCAAAAGGATTCGTCATAAACCAGGCAAATCAATTGCACCGGCATCCGCTACTGTGAATCCAAAAATAATGAATCATATGGGTAAGTAAATTCATTATGAATGTTTGTTTAATCAATAAAAAATCAATTAAATTAGATTTGTATAGAAATCACAGATTTTTTCAAATCAATTAGTATCTAAAAATTGAGACGCGTCTAGGTGTCAACACTCTTATTTAATTCATTTTTCTTTTTCATTATTTTTTATTCAGACGATAAAATGGTTGCAAAAAAGTTTTCGTTCAAGAATAAAATATTTTCATTACCACAAAACTTAACGTCAACGCCTACTGAAAAAAATTCATCAAATCCTGTATTACGAAACAATAGTGATGATCAAATTGAATCGATGGAATTTCCACATGAAAAAGGTGTGGTCATTATTGTGGTGAAGATGAAACTTGTGATTTTATATTCTTATATTAACACAATCTTTTATCATTCTATTTAGAACAATGTAATGTTGATGACGATTTAATGAACAATGATGAATTGAAACAACAAATAGAGCTAATACAACGTACAAATGATTCTGATGCAGGAAATCATGGTAGCTGTGGTGATTATATTGGCAATAATGACAATGAAAAGTGTCTTTTTCGATTTGAATGCTTCCACATTAATGAATCAAAGTGTTCAACATTATCATCATCATATCCACAATAATCACATCAATAATAATAGAAACAACAATAATGAAAACAGCTACCAAAATTCAAATAATGATTTGAATCACAGAAATCATCGAAAACATTCATCTTCATTTCATTCGTCATCATCGACTTCGTCTTCTATTGATGAGAATACAATGATGATAGCTGTTACAAATGAAGTGCCCTGTTTGATAAAACAAAATTTCCCATCAACTCCACCATCAAAAACTATAACATGTAATAGTGACAATGATTATTCCGGTTTGAATGATATTTCCCCAACAACCGGACAACAAGCCGTCCATATTACAGAAACGGCAACAATAATAACGAAGACGGCGACAGCAATAATTGAAAATGAAACTAATCATAAAGATGCTCAACAACATCTACAAATGAATCAGATACAAATGCGTAAAGCTATCAAAGAATCTATTGAATCGAAACGAGAAAGAAAAGCGGCAAAAATTTTGGCCATTATCACTGGTATGTTGGATTGTTGTTACTAGGAATATAATAGCAAAAAAAGTGAATATTCAAACAAATGAGAAATTTTGGTACAATTTTTCTTACACAAAGACGATAATTAGGAACGATCAACCTTAAAATTGTCATTTTCTAGTTTCAAAAAAAAAAATTCAAATTAATTCACTATCATAATAATGATAGGATTGAAAATCGAACCATTTGTTTTATTTTTTTTTCTCTGACATTGTTTGATTGTACTCATGATCATTGAAATGTATGCATTCTGGTGCAATTTAATCAGCTAATAAGTTTTTTTTCATGAAAAATTTTTGGTTTTCAAATACAAATATACCGAATTCAATTCGTCTAATAAATGTAATTTGTATGTGATAGTGTGAAAGCAGATAGTTTTCCAGACTACTACAGTTATTTGAGTGTGTTTAACCTATCTACCCGTTTGTGTACATGGAGAAAAATATGAAAATTTCTTAAATTCAATTTGCCTTATTATTTTCTTTTTTTTCTCAACATTTTTTTGTATTTGTTTAAATTTTTTTAATTTCATTTATTCTTATTTTATCCAGGTATATTCGTCATGTGTTGGCTGCCATTTTTTGTCATGGCTTTGGTTATGCCATTATGCAAGAATTGTCAGCCTAGTAAATATACTTTTAGTATATTTTTATGGCTCGGCTATTGTAATTCATTGCTCAATCCAATAATATATACCATTTTCAGGTATGACCATTCTCTGTTAATTACTTTTTCTTAACTGTTTGTAATTTTTCTATTCAAGTCCTGATTTTCGGAACGGATTTCGGCGGATATTATGTGGAAAAAAAAGACGACAACGGTGATTATATTGTGATTATTATTCCAATGGTTATGATGACGACAATGATTAAAAGAAAAAACATCAACAACAAAAACAAAAATAATATCAATAAAAAAAAAAATAAACAGAATACTGAATTGAATGACCACCAAAAACAAAAAAAAAAATGAACAACAGTAAACATACAAACAATGGAAACAGATGTCTGATGCCCAAGAGATGTAAATCGTGTACGGATTATTCATTAGAATGAATGGAAAAATCGATATTGAACATATCATAACAAAAAGTAATATATGATCGTGATTCTCAAGAGAATAAAATATTCTTTGTACATATGTGTGTGTGTGTATGGGCACTTTTTCTTTTCATGTTTCTGGAACCATTCTTATGAATGCAATGGCAATGTTTTTAAAATGAATACTATAATTACATTTTTATCATGAAAAAATCATGATGGAATTGTGAATAATTTAATTTCAAAATATTTTTTCATCATCATCAAATATGATGGTCATCCCTTTTCCAGATCTAGAATATCAATTTGTCACCTTAATCTTGTATAATCGTTTTTTTTGTATGACAATAAAATATTGATCGAAGTGAAATGACCGGCAAAATTCTATGGAATCTTTTATTTGTTTATCCGTGGGTGTACGAGTTTGTTTACTTTGTTCTTCAAAAGGACAGCCATCATATATAAAGTTGAATCTAAAACGCATCAGAAATATGATTTTTTTTTCAACGATAAAATATCTATTGGTCATGTTTTGGTCCATAACATAACATAGACAACATCATACATAATTTCAAATTCAATGACATATACTGACATTTTCTCGATAATAATTAAACTAATTTCTTTTTTATTCTGGTTAACTATTATTAGCCAAATATAATCTTTTTACAATTCCTGTTAAGCTGCCTTTGTTCATAATCAAATTTATAGAACAACAACAACAACAACAACAACAAAACCAACGAATAAACACATATACGAAAAGAATGAAAAAATCTTGATGTTGATGATGATGCTATGCTTAATTCGCAAATGATTGTCACCGTTTCTATTTTTTTTTTTTTTTTATTGTCCGCTCATTTATTTGCTCGTTCCTTCTCTCTCTCTCTATCTATGGTCAATCTTGAATTCATTCAAAATATATAAATCCTATCGTCAAACTTTTATGAATCAAAATTGTCGTTCAATTTTTGTTTTCACATTCATTTTTGTTTGTTGATGATAATTATCATGGATTATCAATTGTTTCGTTCAAATTGTAACAGAATAATAATCCGATGTTATTGCTGTATTATTGTAACGTAAAAAAAACCAAATTATTTGAAAATCTTTTGTCTGTATCTAATCTCTTATCCCTTTTTTTCTCTATCTAAAAACAATAGTTGGATGATGACTAATGATATTGTTTAAATATTTATATTGTTTATACATACAATGAATATTATTGTTCAAAGTTAATTGATGAAATAAAGTTTTTTTTTATTTATCATACACATATATTTTATAAATGTTCATATTCTATTTGTCAAAGGATTGAATGCAATATTTTTTCAATGGAATTCGATATATCAATTATTGATTGGCATAATTCTTCCAATATAGAATGGTGAATAAGTATTCAATGTAATATCTTCAGTCAATGGATCTACCATTGGTAATTGAAATTCTTCTTTACTCCATTGCATTAATGATAGCTGATGATTCATGAAATATATCCAAAGTGAAAAACATATTATTCTAGAAATGGGCAATATTAATAAATGAGTTGTTTCTTGCCATCCAAAGCCTATATATAAATTTATGAATAAAGAAAACAAATATAAATTAATAAATAAGATAAACAGGATTGGAATTCGATTATGAAATAAATAAAAAAAAAGCAACATCAATCGTAGTTATTGATTAATGAAAAAATTCGTAAATTTCACACATGGCTATAAAAAAAATGAAGTATTGAAAAGTCAATTCAATAATTCATCATCAATCGATTATAAATCTATTAACAAACTAAATCAAAAAGAAAAAAAATTCAATGATACTCTATCATTGGTGAAAAGATGATTTGTGATTATCATTAAACAAAATTGTTTCGAGTCTTATTTTAGCTATATTAAATAATCTTACCATTTAATAATAGTGGATTATCAGTACGTGATATGAACAATAGTAATTGGTAAAATAAAAGAATTTCGAATACAATCAATATCAAGGCAAACATTCCAAACATTGTAAATGAAGATAGATTATCTGTTCGTTTTGTTATTGTGGTCGTTGTTGTTTTTGTAGTTTTTTCTCCCCTGTTTTCGTCGTTTGATTTTGTTGTTGTCATAAATATTGTAGTTGTAATAATTGTAGAAATGGATCCGGTAGCCCAAAAAAATATGAAAAGATTTTGTAAAAAGCTTAGCCAGTAAAATGTACGATCATAAATGACCAATTGATTACGTTTTCGCCAAATTGATATAAGTATTGTATATAAATTACAAATAATCAATACTAATTGCCAAATTGACAGTGACAAAAGTATGTATTGAGCATTATTTATCAATCGTACAGTACGATTAGTTGATGAATTGACTATCAAAGCATAATATTTTTCGTCTATTAATTTTTGATGATGTCGATTTTTTTCCAAATCCGTTGCATTCACCGTATCCGTTTTTGTAGTCGTTGTCTTTGTTGTTGTTCTTAGAAATGGATTAATTGTATTTGGATTTGCAAAAAATGTCTTGTCATCTACTATTGTACGTTTTGCCGCCTTATTGACTAATTTAGTTGTTATGTTCATTGTTTTTTTCATCTATATGATTGAAATCGATGTCTGCCGATACCGTTAGATAGAAAACAAAGGAAGACAGACAGTCAGATATATTTGAAGTGAAAAAAATGGGAGAAATAAAATCAATATATATAAAAATCTAAAAAAAAACAAATGGCAATTTATGCCCAACTTTCCATACGACTAAGTCACCATTTGCAATTTTCGAAGCTTGTTCATTATTCAACTTGTTCATATATTATAACATTTTTTTTACATTTTTGTGATAGATTTAATTACACATTCAAATACACCTACATAACAATACAATTTAATCAATGAACATGAACGAAAAAAAAAATACAGGAAAACAAAAGTTTGCATTGCCATTGTTTTGTTAGGTTTGCTGTTTAAATAAACGACGTCGTAATGTAGATAAAGTGATCAATATGGCTTCCTGTAAAGCGAAAAAAAAGACAGATATATGATTAGATTTAGTTTGAACACATTTTACTGACCTCAGTACGAATCGTATCTGATCCTTGATTTGGACAAGTATTCAAATAGTAATCAAATAATTCACTTGTATCTTGAACATGGCTTAATGATTCATCAGATTCATGTGCCGATTCGATACCACGAAGTCCACCGAAAACAATTAATGTATGAATTGAGCTGGTGAAGGGAATTTTCTTGATTTTTTTATCTACATTGTCACCTTTATCTGATGTGCCTATTTTTAAATCATAACCACCATCATATGGACAGCCATCAAATACTTCATTCAAAGAGTTGGCCATTCGTATTGAATAACCCCAATAAAGACCCAATTTTTCTCGCGGTTCTGATGGCGATACGATTTTGCCACGTAATTTTTTCGAATCACCTATATTTGTTTCAAGTTTAACTGTTACACGAACATTAGGCTGTAAACTTCTATCTACTTGACATTCCTGTCTGAGACCAATATTGACAAATGATCCTTGTTTATGTGGCTTATTAAGAACGACACCTTCTCGATATGGACATTGATCTGTCGAACTCAAATGATGTGGTGATTCTAACGGATTTAACAAACCAGCATATTGAAGATATTTCTGGATTGGAAACAGATTTCGCCGTAAATATTGTGGACATTCAAGATATTCAAGAATTCGCAAAGTTTGAACCATTGTTTCTTTTCTTTTATCAAGTACAACTTGTTCAGGAGTGCTGATATGATAATTTTTTTAGTTCAGAATTAGAAATGATTTAAATTGAATAAAATACTTACCCAGGAATACAATATTCATCGTAAATAACTATTTCATCAATTTTAAATATGACCAAAGAACGAGCAATTTGTCCTACCAGATAGGATTTCAATTCGGCGGATTGAGCATTATCAACGATTGATGATGGAACCGCAATGCTGACGGTCCATAATCTTCCAATTTCTCCTGATTTTTCCTCCATGTTTTGGAAGAAATTTCGTAAGATTCGAGAATATTCCAAAATATAGTTCCTGAAATCATAGACATGTGATAATTTCATTTAGTTTTCGAATTTTTATTAAAAGATGGCAGTGTTGTAGCATTTTTGGAGCACGCTTTTCAACGGTTTTCGTTTTATCAATCATCAACCGTCAAATTTGATAAACCGCCAATTTTTTCTTATAATTATATTTTTACTATCAAGCAAAAATGGACGAACACAATGATGAAACTCTTTACTTAGATAAGTTTGAAGATACTTATGTTTCTTGGGATATTCACAAAGAATTGAATGAAAATATGACACTTGATCAAACAGCTGAACATGAACATAATTCTGGAAAACAAATTTCCTTATCAATGGAAAACACGTGCCAAAATAGTAGTTCAATCATGAAACTAAACTCGACGACCTTAACTGATGAAGGTAATGTCAGCGACAATTGTAAAGAAAACAAAGATTTGTACCAATCAAAAATTTCAATATCGCCCATTGAACAATCGAATCAGCCAACGAAATCGACTACATCTTATGAATTGTTAAGATGTTCAAATCTATCGGAAATTCGACCCATCACAGGTTAGATTGATTCAATAAATTGTTTGAATTTAAATTGTAATTTTTTTTCAAAATAGATTCCGTTGATAATTCTAATTCAATTGCTAAGACAAAATCTGATTCGGGAATTTCTCAACCCAGCCAATTACGTATGACTTGATGCATAGATTTTTTTGTTTGATACAAACATTAACTTTCAAATTTCAACTTTTATTTAGTTTCAAATGAATTTAGCTCGACTAATATTTTGAATTTAGCTTTTGAAGAAATACCCGAAGTATCCATACAATCAAAGTCTTTACAAGATTTCGAACAGCAGCCAATTGAAATCAAAGCTGAATCTGACGATGAAAACGCCGAACAAAAAATTGAAAAACTCTTGGATTATTCCTTACATTGAATCAAAACTTGATTTACAGTCCCGATGACGGAGACAAAATACCTGGTATTGATAAAAAAAAGCTAATGGAAGACATTAAATTTTGACTAATTTATTTTTTACCTTTATTTTGTTCATTACTAGCAACGCTATTTGGAAATGATAATTTATTAAATTTATTAGACGTCTCTTTATCGCAATTGGACCTTCTTTCAAGTATTGAAATGGCTAAAGAACCAACGGAAGAATTGACTTATCAAAAAGATGAAGGTAATGGCTTTTTTGTTGTCTATAACATATTTTTTAGATGAAAAATTTATTTCTCTGTCAATATTTGATCGTTATAAATAAATAGCTAATATTATGGAATCAGCAGCAAAACAGGAAAAAGATGAGGTGAATGATCCGAAAAATAGTGCTGAACATATAATCCCATCATTAGATGTACCAATCATCAATAATGGAAATGTTAATAACGAACAAACACAACAGTCGAACGAAATGTGTATTGTTGCTAATAATGAAGATGATGATGATCAAATTAATCCGACAACAAGCACTAGAGAAACAGTCATGGAGGATTATGGAAAAATTTCTTGTTCGACAATAGAGGATGAAAATCTTACATTGTTAGATTTAACGAATACATCATGTGATTTTTTATTGTCGATATCCTATTCACAATCCACTATTTTTGGCGATTCGATCAAGACCTCATCTCAATTAGGTACGACCAAAACAATCAGCAATGAAATCGAAAAAATGGATTCTAATGCACCGGAAATTGACAAACCATGTGAACTAGAAAAAAATATACCATCTGAATTAGATCAAGTCGAAAACATTCAACATGAACAACAACAACAACAACAACCAGAAGAACTTGAACAAAAAAAGAATAAACAAATAAAGACAATAACTACTATACCCATTGCCATTCGTTCACCTTTATTAAGTTTGGATAATAAAAAGCAAAAGCACATTCCAACTCGGATTGTTACGCCAAAAGTTTTGCCATCAAAACCATTTGCAACCATTAGCGATCGTAAGGTAAGGTTTTACATGATAACATAACATTCATTCAATATTGTCAGTTGAATTTATTTTAATGGAAAAAAATTTATGTTTTTTTTGTCATCATTGTAGATCACAACTTTGGCTAACAAAAAAATTGAATCAACAATTACAAGTTTGAAAAAATCTCGATTACCTGTACTAACTTCGAATAATTTAAAATCAATGAAAATGAATAATAACTGTTCTAAATTGCCAATTTTGAAACGAAAAAATTGAATCATTATAATATCTATTTTGACAAAAATCGTCTAAAATAGTTTTAAAAACATTGTAATTGTAATGATTAATAAAATGGATTTTTTTCAACATTTCTAAATAAAATTTGTGAAGATGATTCAACTTTTATCATTATTATTGTTGCTGTTTCATATAAAAAGGAAATCACATTCCATTACCATCTCAACATATTAATATCCGGTTGTTTTTTTTTGTTCATTGCAGCTAATTCTATTGTTCACATGTATATGTCTATTATATATATGTAATATGAATTTGATAATCTTCTTAACATCAACTCTCTTTTTTTTGGCAATCTTTATTCTGCCTCTATTATAGCTAATCCTTTAAGTATGTTTTCATTATATGAAATGAAAATATCCATTATTTCTGGAATGGACGTTTTTTTTCTCTCTCTCTGATCAACTTCGACATTTGTTTCGTCGATTCACATTTACTTCAATGTTTTTTTCCACTGGCATTATTTATGCATCCATGCATGAATAAATGAAATATATTCAAGAATTTAAAGTCGTTTTTATTTTAAAGTTACTATATCATAGAATATTTGACACAAGTACCTTATTGGCAGTGTGTTTCTCTTGTATTTAAATAAATAAATAAATAAAATATATCACTGAATACTGGTATTATATATAAAAATTTGCATTGATTTTCTTACAAATCAACTAAGATGATGAACATGTCATGGCCAAAAAAAAATTTTGCGCTCAAACATTTTATTTCTTTCTGCGATTTATACACACATATGTAGAGGAATATGTCATGACCAAATAAAAAAAAAAAATTTCGCGCGCAAGCGTTTGATTTTCTTGCGAATCAACTAAGATGATGAACATGTCATGGCCAAAAAAATTTCGCGCTCAAAAAATGTTTAGGTTTTTTCTGTGATTTAAACAAGATGGTAAAAAAATTGTATTCAAACATTCGATTATTTTTTACCTTGTCTTTCCATATCATCATCAGTGTGCAACAAGTACAACAATAATGTATAGGTCTTTTTCAACTGTGGCGGAATATTATTCCAGCGAAGATACTTCAAGTTCCGAAATCACTATATTCAATGATTATAACAAACATCAACAAAACTGGCACCAAATGAAAATTTTTACTAATAATGAAGAACTTAAAGAATTTATTGGTGAAAATTGGAGTAAGTGGTATCGGAGTGATACTGAGAAAGATATCAAACAATATTACCGATGCAACAAGGTAAATATATGATGTTCAATATATGATAATATTATTATAATTTAATCGTATTTTTTCCAGGTGAAAAAGAATGACATGCAATGCCGAGCACGCATTTTTATCTCATATGACAAATTTTCTGAATCAATTTATTTATACCAAAACAACGAAGATCATACATGTAGCGAAATCATCTCAACAAGTAATCGATTAACAAAAGAATTGAAAAACAAAATAACATCGATGTATGAAGAAAGGCAAAAACCAAAACAAATTTATGAAAAGCTAAAAGGAGAAGGAAATGTATTGAAACAAACCCAAGTATATAACGCTATACAACGAATTAAGCGTGAAAAATATGGACCAACAAAAATTTGAATATCAATTAGCAAAAATTGAATTAATTATAATTTTTCTGACAAATCAATTTTTTTTTTCTTCCAAAAATCGAATATTTTTACTTCCAAAAATCAATTAAATATATCTAATTGAAAAAAATAATTTCTCTGCCAAAAAAAATAATTCTTCTGACAGAAAATGATTTTTTTCTGCCAAAAAGAATACTTTCAAAAACAGAAATGTTTCTGCCAGAAAAAATAAAAAATATTGCTACGAAAAATAGTCGCGTATATAAATTGTGGAAACAAATATTCCGGTTTTTTAATAGTGATGAAAAAAAAATATTTTTTTTTGCCGTTTCTAGATGGTTAACTTGAGACTATGATAATGATTATCATTACCATCATCATCATCATGATATAATTTCTGATTTTACATGGTTCAAAGTCAAATGGGGAATGAAACAAAAATTTGACGAACGGAATTCCGTTTACTGAATCATCATGTGATTATTTTTTTTTCATATATATTCATTTTTATTCAAGCTTTCATTTTCCATTATGCAATCTAATATTATATAACCAGCCAACCATTAGGATGAATGGAAATTTTTTTTTTCAATGGAAATTCAATACAATTATGATGAAGCCCTGGAATTGATTCAAGGCCAAATACAACAAACAATGGGATAAATGTCAACAATCATGACAACAAGTAAATAAACATGGTGAATTTTTGTCCTTCGAAGTGGAAGAAAGAAATTTTCAATCAGTATTTGATCGAACATTACAAATAAATTTCCAATATATATTGATCGATTAAAATATTTGAATAATGTTTTATTCATAAAATGAACTATAGTTATAATAATGTTTCTGGATTCTAATTTATTGATTAGAATATTATTCCTATATAGACGAAAATCATAGTTTGTGTTATCAACTTTCAATTTTTTTCCTTAGCTATACACATATACATTGTACTTGTTTATTGATTAATTTTTTTTCCTACATTTAATACGAATGAAAATGAAAAGAAAACTTGATCAATAATAATTTGGTAATATGGATTAATTTGTACTGATTTTGATGATGGCTATTTTTAGAATGTTGATCATGATGGTATAACGATTTCCGATGAATGTTGCTGTCAAATGTTTTTCATCTATTTCATATAATAAAAATATCCAAAAATTTTATGTATGTCAGTAATAATTATATGGAAAAAAAATCTTTATGAATTCATCAGCTTCAAATTTTGTTGAAAACAAATTGCTGCTTTATTCAGTTTTTTTTTCATAATCATCATCATATCCATAATCATCATTGTAGATCATTAAAACCGGAAAAAAAGCTTAAAGTTTTTTTTTTTGATGATTATAAAAATTTCATTTTAAATTTATTTTTCATTTTTTTCATCATTTTGAATATTTGGGTCATGTCACTGTTTTTTTATGGTTAAAATTCAAATCCATTTTTTCAATCTTTTCAACAATAATAATTTTATTTTTGTTATTATTATAATTATTAAAAATTTAAGAATCAAAAATGTTTTTGGATTCGTTCCAAAAACATTTCCATACGTCATGGAATCCTCATTCGCGAGAAAAGTTGTTAATTATTTTTCGATTTTTATTCCGATATAAATTTGAGAATTACTTTGTGCAAGTCTAGTTCTATAGGCCAATTTCTTCAAAAAGAAAGAATATTCTATTTTCCTTTTTTTCAAAAAAAAGTTGTTACAAAAAGTTCATGTTTGAAAAATCTACATATTTATTATGGTGGAATTTTTTTTTGTTCTCCATGTGCTAAACATATGCATAAAACAAAATGTGCATTATTACTGAATAATGATGAAAAAAAAAGATGTCTGTGCTTGTATATGTGATGGACAATGAAGAATTCCAGAAACTTTATTTGGGTCTCAAACAAAGATGTATAATGGTATGAGAATCGTTTGACAAAATCAAACAGGAAATTCGATTATTCATCAGCTATCTTTTCACGATTTCCTTAATCAAATTACAGTAACAATAACAATAACAACAACAAATTGGAAAAATAAATGGCAATTTTTTTTCATAAAATTAAATTACTCATATAATAATATAATGTTGTCCGATAAATTAACGGTAAATAATTATTCTCAATAATGAACCATTCATGTCGATGTACATATGGATGAATCGAAATATTAACAAAAAAAAAGCCAGTTTGTGTATTTTCAACATTAAGTTTTTTTTTCTAGATTTAATCTTCATTCTCGTAACATGATCCAAATTGACTGTTAATGTTGCTGTTGGTTTCAGTGTGATGTTTCTATTATACTGTGAAAATTGAGATTTTTTTTTTTTTTGGTTCATACTAGAATTAATATGGAATTTAGTGATGTATAGTTAAGAAATAGAGAATAACCACTTTTTTTGTTTGGAACGAAAAAAAAACCTTGAAAATGGATCAATGCGCATGTATGGATTCTGATTCTAATTTTGATAGTTAACAAACGTCATTCACGACGATGATTCATATATCGATGATAATTTCGTATACTCAATAGACAACAGTTTACAAAAAACACATATAGCTCTGACACTGACACTGAAAATTTTTGTTCAATTATATATTGAAAATAGAATTCTGAATGGTAGTCATCTTCGTTTTTGGTTTTCGTCGGCGGGAATAATCATCAAGCATCTGTTTCGAATCTATGTTTTTGAAAGAAAAAAAAAATGTTCCAGTGTTTTGATGCGCGTCGTCGACAACAGCTACTGACACACAGTAATATTATTTTCATTATATCAGTATAGAACTATTAGATACAATAACAAAACGTTGATTTTGTTGTTCATTCTGAATTGTGATATTCATTGTTTCTGGTTCAAGTCAATGATCATCATTATTTTGATGACAACAATTCCTATTATAACATTCAACAAATAACAAATTTGTTTTTTTTCATCATCATCATCATCAATTGACGTAATTCAAAGAGTTATTATTATTTGTTTATTCATTTCGTTTCATACACTAGATTTGTGATGGAACGGAAATTAATCTTTCACAATTGTTTATTTTGAATTGAAATAAATTTTTTTTTTGCCACACGAAATTGATTCATTTCAATTTTATTGACTATACTATTCAATCAATATAAAATATCGATAACTAGAATCTTTTCTAGCATATGTGTGTGTCATGAATTTCGAAATGATTATTTATCATTCTATATGATTACGGGAATACAAAGCTACCATATAAATTCAGTTTAATTCAATCCGTCAATCATATTGGGAAAAAAACAAAATATTCAAAACAAATTCGAGTGAAAAAAAAACATCATAATGGCACAACGAACACGTTTATGTGTTACATTCGAAATGGATCATCATAATCAAGAGGATGTTACAATTCTCGATATGGATAATAATGATCGCCGTTATTCATATACGACAACGACAAATTCTAATCAATCTAGTGTTGATCGACTTTGTCTACAGGATACGAATGTTCAAGGTGAATCTTTATATTCTAAAAATTTTTTTTCTCTCTCTACTAAATAAATATTTAATAATATTCAAATTTGTGTTTGTTCGAAAGATAAATAACATCATTTTAGAATTTTCACAGAATGACTATGTAGAATTTTCCTAGAAATAACCAAAAAAAAAAAATCATTAACATTTCCAATTTATGTGTGCACATAGCATTTGTTGTTGTTTTTTATAAGTATATGTTACATTTTTCTTTTCGATTTTTTTCCTGTTTTTTTTATCGTTATCATCATTTATTGTCAATCCAAATTTATCTATAGTGACATTTTCGATGATTGAACGATTCTTGCATGAATAAATAAATAAATAGATAAAATAGATGAATGAATGAATGAATTGATGATCTTAGGTGGCTACTACCAGCAACCAATGTATAATTGGTATCTTAACTATTCTATTTCTTTTTTTTTTTTTGTTCAAATATTTATTATAAATATGCAGTTGCTGCAAAAAAACAACAACAACAACAACCATTGATGACGTTGCTTTGGATGACGTTGTCAATTTTTTTTTTTTTTTTTTTTTGTCATGATTGTCAAGAGGATACTATACATATAAGCATAAACACATTTATCGATACACAATACAGAATAAGACAAACACATTACATTTTGACAACAAAGAATTGTTGTAAATTACAATGTTCAAGTGTTTCAAATATAAAAACCATAGGTGTCCATTCATTTATTCATTCATTCATTCATTCAATAATATGATGTAAACTTTAATAATAATGATACAAATTATATTAATGTTTTTTTTTTGATTTTGTTTTTGTCGTTGATTTGCTGTCAGTTTGTTTATATATTCTTTATTCTGTCAATCTCCATTTGTGTTTGGTTATTTTATTAATGCCTTATATTTTTTTTGAATATTTATGTCATTATTATCAATATATTAGATGGTAAGAATAGTACTGTAATATATCTAATAAGATCCCGCGATGATGATGATGATGATGAACACTTGAAAAGATCTAGATGAATTTATTCAATATAAAATATTTATGATATGAATCAAAATAAGATTATAGATGATGAAAAGTCTCTGATGTTTACAAGTGTGTGTGTGTGTGTGTGTGTGGCAGTTTTCTCATTTTTCTACATTAAAGACATATTTTTTTGCGGATGGGGATCGATGCTGGTGGTTGGCTGAAAATGTGATTATGAATTTCAACTTTTTTTCTGCTGCTGCTGTTGTTGTTGTTGTCATAAGAATTTGAGGCTTATCTATCTTCCACGTTCATTTATTTTTTATTTTTTGTTTTTTTTCGTTTGTTCACAATCATTCTCATAAAGTAAATAACGAAAAGAAAAATTCTTGATTCAATTTTCTTGAATTTTTTTTTATTATTATTAAAAAAAAGTTCCTATATTCGCTGAAAAAAAACGTTGATGGATTAAATGTAGTTTGTCATTGAAAAAAAGTTATTTTTGCAAATTCTTTTTATTGGGTAAAAAAAACCCACCAGAATTTTTTTTGCATCGTAATAAAATGAATTTCAATTTTCCATACTCAATTCTTTTTAATACTCACTTCCGACCACCACCACCACCGCCACCAGCACAACGATTATTGTATTGCCTACATAATCGACCATCGATTTATTACGTCAATTACAATACTAATTTTGATCTGGAAAAATAAATTTGTTTGTTGAACCACAAACACAACCACACACACACAACTCAACTCGAATATTTTACCAAGAGACAATTAATTTGTTTGGGGGAAAAAGCCATTAAGATAATTGGTCGCTAATAAGATCCATGGTGATTTTTTTTTAGTCCAATCGATCACCAGATGTTTATAATGGCTAAATGCTTTTGAAATTGATTGAAATTATATTTTATATATATTAAATATTAAACTGGTTTTTTTGTTTGATTTTTGGTTGAAAAACTATAATCGAAAATTCTTGTCCAATCATTTACGATTAAATCAGTTGGAAAATATTGGTTTCTAGTTTTTGGTTTGTTTATTTATTTGTTTAAAATTATTATATCGTTATTCTATGGCAACTTTCAACTACGATGTAATTGATAATCGAATCAGTGAAATCAAATGGACTGTATGACGAAAGAATTATATATAAAAAGAAATGAAAAACACTGAATAAGTCATGATGATGATGATGATGATGATAAAAGATAAATAAAAAATTCTCTTTAGTATCAATTTTTATCTATTTTTTCATTACATTATCGATTTCCAAAATTGGATTTTATTCTGGTCTTCGTTTTTATTGGATCCAATATTTGTATGTTCGATGATTTATCTAATGGAATATATAGAAAATTTGGTGTGTGTGTGGCATTGATAATGAAATTTCGAAACTGATGATGAAGAAAAATCTCGCTACAATGAACAAGAAAAAAAGTTGATTCCATTTTAGATTTATTTTTTCGTTGTTATTTGGCTTTGTTTTTTTTGCGTTATTTCGTGATGTTTAACTGTTGGTCACTAGTAATGTTAGACACAATAACCGATGGTAAAGTCAACGATCCAATTTAACTCCAATTTCGGAGGAATTTTTTTTTTCATTCTGAGCCAACCAACCAATCAACCAGCTTACACGAACACACATATTCACATTTGTTTGAAGCTATTTCATTATTAAATTTGCTTTTTCAAGTGGATATTCTTCTTTATATTCTGTTCATTTGATCACATGTGTCTGTGTGTGTGTGTGTGTATGTGTGTGCAAGTATATTGGAAAATTTCCATCACTTCAAATTATTGTTTTGAATGAATAAAATGGTTCAAAAAGAAAAGCAAGCAAAAAGTTAGATACTTGTTGACCTTGAAATTCTAATCGTCCACCATAATAACGTAACAAAATGAATCATATTCGTTGTATACAACACACGCAGAATTTAAAAGAACTTTTCTTTCAAGTTTTATTATAAAAAAAAATAAAACGAAAGAAAGAGAAAAAAAAATAACGCAAACTACTGTAATGATGAAGTTTTTTTTTCTGCTGACCATTTGGAATTTATTTTTTCAAGAAATAAAAAAAACCGATCATAATTACAAAAGACTTGAATACGATCAATCTATCTACGAATGACCATTTTTTCCGAAATAATGTTGTTGTTTTTGTCGCTGATTGTCACGATTCTCTCTATTGAACTTGAATTGAGTTTTTAGTCAAAATAAAATGTAGAATATTTCAATTGTACATGATAATAATAATAATAATAATAATAGTTAGTTGAATGAAAATTCGATGATGACACAAATTGTTTGTGTAGTGAAAGAAAAAGAATAAAGTCATCCGATAACATTGAACAAAAGCTATTATTCGAATGAAATTTGAGTAAAGAAAATAAACTTATTTGATAGTATAGAATCCTGAATTGAAATGTATAGAATAATAATAGGAAAACTGTGATTGTAATCAAAGACAAACAACAACATTGAATAATAAAAAAAAAGAAAAGAAAATCCAATAGCTCTCAATTATTTTCTTTACATTACAGAATTCTATTCGTGATTTGATGGGTTTTCTTTTTTTGTTTCCTTACTTTTATTTCATTTGAAGACTTTAGTTCCTAATTTAGATCGATGATGATGATGACCACTGATGATGATGATGATGATGATGACGTTTATTGATATCCGAAAATGTTGTTCTAATTCGTAGTTTGTAGTTTGTTATACTAATGTGAATGCTATTTGTAGTAGACTGTAAAGAGAACCAACCATACATCTAAATGTTTAGAAAATTTGAAATCAAAACAATATAATTGGAATGCTAAAAGTTCAAATGAACAGTTTTTAGTTATTTTTCCACAACGTTTGTTTTTCATTTATTTCCAAACTAAACAAATACAAAATTTTATACACTGATTTTCAATTGGATTTTGTCCCTTTATATGTCTGATATATATTGAACGTGTTTCGTATATAAGAAGCCAATCGACGATATTCGTCCGAATTAGGACGTAGTATTAAATCAACATCAATATTACCAAAAGTTTCGCGTGCCAAATCAGATATTATACTCAATTCGATTGGATCAATTTCTATCGATAAAGATGGCCAAAACAATGTTGATGATACAACAAGTAATCATTTGGATGATAAAAAAAAGTTTGAAAATAAACGTACAAATGCCACAATGAAAAAATTGGGTAAGTTTTTATTTCATTTCGTACCATTCATTAATTTTGTTGATGGTGATTCGATTAATTGGATATTAATGATTGGGATAAGTAATTTTTTTCTGTAAATTCACCTTTGTAAATTGGTGTTGTCCATAAAATTCTAATTCTGGGCATTATGGAACATTACTTACATGTTGTGTGTGTGTGTGTGTGCATGTATCCGATTCTCAAGAAAATAATTAAATCGCCTTTAACAATCGAGAATAACATGGAACACTGTTTACGTAATAATAACCGCTTTCACGTATACACACCATTTATATGGTTAAATTAAATAACGAGAGTGAGAAAAAGATAAAGAAAAAAAAGGAATTATCCTGAAAACAAACATTGCGTATACACTATAGTGAATGAATTTATTTTCTTTTTTGGTTTTAATGCCTTCAAGCGATTTGTAGTTAATTGAAAATGGTTTATAGAATTTCTAATTCTAATATTTTTTCTTATTTTTTCTTTGTATTTGTTTATATTATTCTATATTCTGTGGCCATTTCAATTATGTTTTTTTTTAAATATCATCTTGGCTTCTATTCTAGCTGGATATATAAATGTCAAACCAAGATTGAAATATAAGGAACATGATTATCAACGAATAACGTATGTACTGAATATGAAACCAACAAAATGTCGTATTTGTTCCGATAATATTTATTTCTATTGCTATGAATGTGTACAGGTAAGCAACAAAAATGTTATTCTAACAATTTTTTCTTTCTTTTTTCCTTTTTTTTATTTGTTTTATTACGTTATTTCACCGGAAAACAAACCAACAAACCGTTTGGACATTTTTATTCAATTATCATTATGCACAGTTGACAGTGTACTGAATTTAATTATATTTTCCACTACTATTTTTTATTATATTTTATCCATATATTCGAATAACATCAACCAACCACAATAACAACACCAATGATAATGATGATGATGAACAACGTCAAACGAAAAAAAAAAAAAAAAATACAGTGCAAGTTGGCCGGACATAAAAAATGTTTACAAAATTTATATGTAACATGTCCAAATAAAGTGATGCCACCACGATTGGCTGTGTTCGGTTTAGAAATATCTGATAATAATCAAATATCTGATGTATTACATACATGCATTATTGAGATTGAAAAAAGGCCTATACATCAATTACGTGGCATATATAAATTGGATGGCGATTCAACCAATATCGAAAAATTGTGCCTAAGTTTTGAATTTGGTTCACATCTTATTGATATTAGCCAGATTAGTCCTCATGATATTGCCGGTGTTGTTAAACATTATCTTCTTTGTGTAAGTTTTGTTTACACTTTTATTCGTTTACAAATATGAGATAAAAATTACTAAATAAATAAATTAAATTTCAATTCATAGATATCAACACCAATATTCAATAAAAACATTCAAAAAGAATTAATTACAATCGGTAGTGAATGGCCAGTAAGAAAAGTTCCATATACACAATCTGGTATTGCTATTTTGGTATTTGAATTACGACGATTAGTTGGATGTCTAACAGCAACATATCGAAACAATTTAGCCTATATAATCTATCATTTAAAACGTATAGTTGATCGTCAACATATAACGGAAATGACAGCCAATTCATTAGCAATCGTATTTGCTCCAATAATTTTTCGTGATGAAAGGTATATTATTATATTATATTATATATTAATTTATTGTTATCAAAAATGTAAATGAAAAATAATTATTTCATTTAAACTAAATAATATATATAATAATACATCCATTCATTTCCAGAAACATTCAACATGAATACAAAACTGGCAACAATGACAACGACAACAACAACAACAATAATAATGATAGAATAAAAGGAAATTCTCTATCATCATCATCATCATCATTGATGAAAAATGGCCTTAGCAATAATCATAATAATATTGGTACAATGCATATATTATTAGATGTTCATCTAAAAATTCGTGTAATTGAATTGATGATATGTTATGCAAATGATATATTTGCTAATTTAGATTGATGATGATATAGAAAAATATAAAAAAAAAACACATGTGTAATGATTGGAATACATGATTATCATCAATGGCTCCATCCATTTATTTTTAAAAGAACAGATAAAAGAAAATACCAGTTTTGACTTCGAATTGAGCACATAACAAAAAATTAAATTGTTTGTCTTGTGTCTGTCTGAATTCCAAATGTTTTTAGCTTGATGTAAAACGCGCACGCGCGTGTTTTATTCCATTCCTTGTTTTCTGTTGTTCTCCAATGTGTTGTATATTGTGTTCGCAACAATTTTGGCGGTTTTAAGTCATCGAATGTAACCGATGAGTTTTTTTTTCGTTTATTTCTACATGTGTATTCACAAAACAATAATATCCGTAACCATTCTTCCGAATCTTATTGAAATTTTAAAAAATTTATAAATAATGGATCCATTTGGCAATAATTTAAAAACGACAACAACAACATCATCTGGTCGACCATTTGATAAATATTCATTCTTTTTGGATCCAAAAAATTCTACCCAAATAAATGCAACATTATCCGAAAAAATTATACAACTCGGTGGCGTATGTCTTATTTTTTTTTTTTTTGATTTATTTCATGTTTAATTTATGGAAACATTTTTTCTTCTGAAAATATCCATTTATGCAGAAAATCGATATGTTCATCAATAAAAATACCAGCATTGTTGTGACCAGTCGACCTAAAATAGAAAAAACAACGGTGACAGGCTTGGAACAATGTTCACCAACACCAAAATTGGCTCTAAATACTAATAATGCATTTGTAAGTTTAGTACTGTAAAAAGCTTTGTTTGAAGTTTTTTTAAAATATTTTTTTATATATTAATAGTCCAGAGGAAAATTATTGTTGGAAAAGACGACAGCGTCAACATTTTCTCAAGCATCTGACCCACTAGAATTGGCGCGTATATTTAACATTAAAATAGTACGAACCGGTAGATTATTGCAATTCTGTGAAGATCATATTGAAAATGTTCGTAAAATGAAACAATCCACCATCAACCAACAGAATACGACACGTAAATTATGTCCACCGTTCATCAAGATCATCGATAATTCAAACAAATATAGACCGAATTTCAAAGAATTGAATGAATGGCCCCAGTTGAATTTCGAATATCAGCCCGAATCATGTCCATTTTTCAAAGCGAAACCATTGATCAATGTTAATTCGTTAAGTCAACAGCCACATCCTAATCAATCACAACAATCGAACAAATCAACCGTACCGACCATTTACAAACAATTAAATGAAAAATGTACAATGTTGACCACACCAATATTGACTGGAACAAATACAAACACGCCAAACATTATAAATGGCAAATCCATTCCGACCAATACTCTTCCGAATAATAAGGTTGTTGATAATAAAAAGAGGAGAAATGTTACTTTTTGTGAAATTTGCCATAAAGATTATACGGATTTCGAATCGGTAAGATTTATTCGTTATCGATGTGGATGTAATTATTTTAACAAATTTTCTTTTCATTCCTATTTAGCATCTAAGTTACCAAAAACACGCAGAATTTTTTAGCGATAATGAAAATTTTAACGAATTAATTGGCGTTATCAATTCATTGCCACCATTTGTGAAAGGACCATTTGTCAAGAATCGTACGACAATTGCTAACGATTCTGATAATAGTTTAGCCGATTTGACGAACAAACAGATATCTTTTAACAATTCAATCCCTATGGAAGAAAGCCCGAAAATTATTGCAGCAAAAACACCATCATCATCGATAACGAAATTTCATTCGATCAATGCAGCAACATGGAGTTCAGCATCAAAAAATCGAAGTTTTGTTGCTATACACGATCTACTTAATCGACATCCGAATGAAAATGATGTCATCCACAACGAAATTGATGACAATCAAAATGTAGAAATGTAGATGAAAAAAAAATTTGGTCGTAAATCATAAAAAAATATTTAGTTCATTTCGTTTGTTTTGATAAAAATTAATTCGTTGTTTATTTTCATTTCATAAATTGACTTTTCCTTAATTATATTATTCGGTCCTATAGGGACAGATTATTATGAACAAAATTTATTAAAAAATAATTTAATCCATAAAAATCAAGAACAAGAATTTTATCCATTGTTGTTTTATTCCAAGATTTTTGATTCATCAATCGTTTGATTTTTTGGTACCTGTTCGGTCGTTCGTTTACGTACATCCCAATTATATACTCGTGCCATATTAACTTCGGTTGTTGTAATCTGATCTTTGAGAAAATCCATATCCAATTCGATTTGTTTTAATGATCGTTCAGCTTGAGCTAAATTTTTATTCAACAATTCTTCTGCTTCTTGAATTGAATATTCAAGCATTACATTTGCCTACATTACATGCAATCAAAATATGTCATTTTCGCTTCAACAGGAAGAAATTAATTATCAAAATATACATACACCAAGCCAAAGGCAAACTTTATCTGTTGGTGGAACGATTGCTCTTGTGTATAGATGATAATCCAGTTGATAATTAGCGTCCATTTCTTCATTTTTTGTCTAATTATCGATTAGTTAGTTTGAGAAAAAGGCAATTCGAAATGCAACTTACATGTTTATCTTTGAGTGTTTTTAGAATCTCTAGATTCTTCTCAATGTCAGGATATTGTTGTAATAATTTGGACTTTTTCAAATGAAGATTTTGTTCCATGAATTTATATTTCATATATAATTCATCTAATCGTTTAATTACTTCACTTGCCGAATTATTTTCCGGTTTTTGCATAAAAGCATCAACATCTTGCTGTGATCAATTATATAAGATATAAATTTGAGAATCTGTTTTTTAAATTATTAAATAAAAATTACCAAAAATTCAGCTGTGGGAATTCCAACACTATTTATAATTGGTTCAGATGACATTTTCGTTCCGAATGACAATTGTACGATTATAATGAAAATTGGAATTAGAAATTATTAATTATATTTAAATTTAAATTTAAATTATTATATCAGCCACACACAATCATCAGGCATGTTAATTTCATTGAGTTGAAACAGTCAAAATATTCTTGTCACGTGATTTAAGACAGTATACTCATGATGAAGCAATTTAGGTGTGTGTTAAAACCATGTGATCTGATCAAACCAATGATGTTAAAATAGGATTCTTCAAATAAACCACATGGATTTGAAAATGAATGAATCTAAATCTTTAAATTTAATTCCGTTACAGGAATTCAACAAAATTACATCAGATATACTTCAAGATCGAAAAAATGTCAATCGAATCATTGATCTAATTGATATTCTCTCAAATTTGGATGAGATTCAGGCGAGTAATCTTTACGCTGAATCATTGATACGATGTTTGTCAAAGATATGGACCAATTATATTGATTCTCGTGAAATGGTCTTGCTTAAGGATGATGATACAGATCAATATAGCAAAATCAATAAATTCAAATCTTGGCTTATTACTCTTTACGAATCAACCATCAGTCTTTTTATTCGAATTTTGGAAAACAAAGAATCCAACTATTCATTGAAACTGAGACAATTGTGTTTAGAATTGCTGATGAAATTTGTTGAAGAAGAAGGAAAATTCCCCTACCGTTACGCAACCAATAATGATGAAATAAGTTTTCCTGTTGTACTTTTGGAGAAAATTGTTCGATCTCTAATCTCTGAACTAACTTATAATCAAGAATTGATTGCCTTCTATTCGAAATACCAATACGATGATGTTATTCATTTCACCATGACGATATTGCATAAGATTATTGATGAGAATAAAGGGAATGATAAACAAAATCTAATGTTCAATATTATCGATATGCTTTCTCCTATTCGATTGATTACACCTGAAGATTTGTTGCCCAAAAGTTTACAATCAGAATTTAGGAAAGTTAACAAATCTAATAACGACCGTAAAACATTGATTCGTCTTTGTGAGCTTCATCGCATTGATGATTCTGATGATAGTGGTAACCATATAGCTAAATGGATACAGTTACCTACACGCAAATTTAAATTCAATTATTCACGTGATGCCGAAATCTATTCTTCATTGTGGATAAAGTATTTCACTTTTCAATTACCACCACAGGTGTTTAAAAAATCTCTTCTCTATCTTGACAAATATGCCATAAGACATTTCGAAAATCCATTATTATTGGCCGATTTTCTAATAAATTCTTTTCAAACTGGAGGAATCATCTCAATTCTAAGTCTAAGCCCACTTTATACATTAATTCATAAATGCAATTTAGAATATCCAAATTTTTATGGCCAACTTTACAGTCTTCTAGAACCTGCAATTACTTATGTAAAACATCGACCACGATTTCTATTTTGGTGTGATTTATTTCTCACATCTACGCATATATCAGCCACAATTGTCGCTTCGTTTGCAAAAAAATTTGCCCGTTTAACAATCATTTCAAGCCCCGACACAATATTGATTTTATTACCATTCATAGGAAATTTATTCATCAGACATCCAATGATCAAACGAATGTTAGACTATAAACAAATTGAACCAGAACAAGATCCATTTCTTGATCAAGAACAAGATCCAGAAAAAACTCAAGCATTGAATAGCTATATGTGGGAATTGAATCTACTTCAATCACATTATCATCCTGAAATAGTTTTACTTTCCAAACAGATTAGCAGTGAATTGCCTCGTTATGAATGGAATATGGAAGATATTCTTGAAACTTCGATGGATGATGTGATAGACAAAACAAAAACTTCGTTGAATGATCAAAAAAAATTTTCATATGATCTTGATTGTAGCCTTTACTATGATTTATAATGTTTATTATTATTTAGCTAATAATTTTTGTCGATTTTTTATAATTTTTTGTAAAATTTTCAAAATGAAATAAATTCATATCGGCCATCAATTGGTCACATTTGTTTGTTTGACTATTTTTGAATTTTTCTGTTAATTTTAATTTCAATTGTTCACGATTGATCGAAAATAAGATGTAGATTTCATTCCATTTGAGCGAATTGTTTGCAGTTAAATTTTCTTTTTCTTCGTCTGAATCGGTAGTGGATGAACTATCATCACTTCTTATGGATCGAATTTTGCTATCGATATCGACTTTAACACAATAACAATCATCATCATCATATTTATAAATATCATAAAGATTTACGAATTCAATTGGGCAGATATCGATTCTGATAAAAGATTCGATCAATGATTGAAAATCGGATAAATTTTCATATAATGAAGCAATACGTATCTTTTCTATTGCACTATCTTTTGGAATATGGAAATTTTGTTTGAACCAACGAATTTTTTTCGTAATTTCAATGACTTTTTCCATATCTTTGTCGATGGAACGATCAAAATGAACAAGAACTGGATCGTCTTGTATTTTTGGATATTCCGATTCCAAGATGCTGCGATATGAATAATCTGAAGTGAGGCGATATTCCAATTGTTGATATAAATTTTCCGTTATGAATGGCATGAATGGATGAATCAATTTGAGCGCTTGTCGAATTACGTATAGCATAACATTCATGGATTTTTCATAAGATTCCGTTTTGCCGACAATGTCTTTTTTGATACTTTCCAAATATACATCACATAAATTATCAATCCAGAATTGTTCGATTTGTTTGGCCGAATGATGAAGATCGTAAGAATCAAATGTGAATCTACAGTGATTTACCAAATCTGCTAATTTACATAGAATCCATTTATCCACTTTCGAAAGTGTATCATTGACCAAAAACGTTGGTGTTTCTTTGAATTCATTCGTTAAATTGATCAAAATAAAACGGATTGTTTGATGCATTTTATTGGCAAACACACGCTTTTTGATTGCATTTTTTAGATCAAATTTAACATTTTGTTCCTTAAATCTTGATTGAAGCAGAGATAATCGTAATATGTCTGCACCACATATGGGAATACCCTTCGGTAAAGTTTTAATCAATCTATTCATAACTTGTGTAAACTTTTCGCGTGTTATTAAACCAGAATCGAGATAATCTTTATTTTGTTGTAAAATCTGATCAAATGAAGCTCCTTCGATTAGATGAAGAGGATCAACAACATTGGCCCTTGATTTGGACATTTTTTTGCCTTTTTCATCACATATCATTCCATGCAATAAAACTTTATCGAATGGTATGCGTCCAGATAACATTAATGAAATTAAAGTCATTCTTGCTACCCAGAAGAAAATAATATCATGACCAGTTTCCATTAATGAAAGTGGAAGGTCTTGAAAAGAATTCGATTGAAACCACCCGGTTACGGCAAGTGGCAATAATGCCGATGAGAACCAAGTGTCTAGGACATCTTGATCACGACGTATTTCGATTTCTTCTTTTTTGAAACCATGTTTCTCACAAGCAACATTCAAAGCTTGTTCTTCGCTCATTGCAGCTATCCAAATATTTGTTGGCTTCGAATCAAGTATAACTTCATATGCAGGTATTTGATGTCCCCAATAAATCTGACGAGAAATGCACCAATCTTTATAGCGGCTAAACCAATCTTTCCATGTGTTTCGATATCCTGATGGAATGATGGCCATGTTTCGACTATGTTCATCTAAATTTTTACTTATTTGTTTCCAAACTTCTTTGGATGATTCAGAAAGATTGTCACGATTAGCTACAAATTCGGCAGCATATCGAGCCTCATCTGTTTTCAGAAACCATTGTGGCACAATGCGCGATTCAATTATGTCACCACTTCGAGAACAAATCGGCAGCCAATGTCCATGTTCTTTCAAGCCACAATAGAGATTACGTTTTTCAAGTTCTTGTTTGACTAACTCTTTAGCTGAGTATCGATGTACATTGTTCAATGGTTTATATTCACAGTCAATAAAACCTTGATCATTGAAAATGGTTTTTGATGGTAGATTATGTCGAAGGGCAATTTCATGATCAACAAAACTATGTGCCGGAGTTAATTTAAGTACACCGGTGCCAAAATCAGGTTTTACACTTTCTTCAGCTATAATTGGCATTTTTTCATTGGTAAATGGATTAAATGCAAATTTTCCTATAAGATGTGAATAACGTGTATCATCGGGATGAACAGCAAGGGCTACATCGCCCATAATTGATTCAAGTCTTGTAGTTGCTATCGTAACAAAATCGTTTGAATCAATATTTTCTAGTGGATATTTGAAATAATGTATAACACCGAGCTGAAAAGATTCATTACAGCCAGGTACTTTATATTCTGTTGGACCAGATATGAATTTATGTTCAATTTCGATATCCGACAATGTTGATTGCAGATAGTATGACCAATTGACCATATAAGATGCTCGATATATCATTCCACGATTAAATAATTCAATAAAAGCTTCATTTACATTTCTAGACATTTCTGGTGATAACGTAAAATAATTGGATTGAAAATCAATCGAAACACCTAGCGATTTAAGCTGCCTTTCAATCTCATCAATTCGTTCTTTTTTCCACTTCTCAATGATAGCACCGAATTCTTCTCGAGAGATATCCTGCTTAGTTTTAGCATATTTGGCCCATAGGATTTTTTCGATGATAATCTGAGTGGCAATTCCTGCATGATCGGTACCACCATACCACTTGACAATTTTATCATTCATTCGATGATATCGACATAAAGCATCCTGAATTGCAACAGTCAATGAATGACCTGTGAAAGGAAAATGAAATTAAGGCATCAATCATAACGTTTTGAATAATTTACCTAAATGCAATGAACCAGTGATGTTTGGTGGTGGTAATAAAAGACGAAATTTTGGCTCCGTATCCTTAATGACAAATAATTCACGCTGTTCCCATATGGATGACCAAAATTTTTCACATTCTTTTTGTTCATATGTATCTGGAAATTTGGATAAATAATCGATTACTTTTTGGTCGATTCTTGATCCATGATAAAGCCTTTTTGAACTTGAAAGTATCAATGTTTTCAAAACAACAGAACGACTACAAAGTTTCAATATCATGATAAAATAAATTTATATACAAATTGATTGACCGCGCGCGATCACAGAACATGTGATTCATAGAATTTTCATCCACAAAGAATGTGTCCATATATGATTCATAAACTTATAAGCGGGCGCGTTTTTAAACTTAAAAACTTGAACTTTAAATTTGATCTTGATCTTGATTTTTGAAGCTAAATATGGCAATTGTTTTTTTAAATAGAAACGAAAACTAAAATTTTTATTTTATTTTTCTTTCATCCATTTTCTAGCGATCATGTCGATTTATAATATCTTATTTTATCTTATGGCCAAAATTATTCATTTCATTTATGATTATATTCTGCTATTTAAATTGTGGAATTTTATTTGGAAACGTTTCACTTATTTTGTCTTTAATTCCTGTTCTATTGTGCAATTATTTACAATGGTAAGCATTTCTTATTTCTGTTGAATTGTTTAATTCTTAGTTTTTTTCCATTCAATTAGCTATCCGAACGAAAATTAAATTTAAACGAATTTATTGAAATCATCGAACGTATAGATCAACATGAAAGGATTATCAAAAATTTATCCGATCGTGTGGAAAAATTGGAATGGGATCTTAATCGTTGTCTTTGTAAAGGAAGCAATCTTCATGAGCAGATCAATCTAAGTGACATATCGATTGATGATTCGAATGTCAAGACTATGGAAGTAATGAATATTCCAATACCGCCTCCACCACCACCACCACCACCGAAAGAATTCAATTTCACTAGTACTCCTAATCCAGTTTTTGTATCACAGCAGAAAATTCAATTCAACGGTGGCTTTGATCAAAATGAAGACGATTTCGTTTCAAATAAAAAACAAAGGTTAGCATTATCATTATCATCAACAACATCCAAACAATCCTATCGATTAGTTGATCAGATTTTATGGAATTTTGTTACAAATAAAAATCCCTTAATATGTTCCACAAATTTCGCCAATTACTATCCTAGGTATTTTTTTCAAACATTTCAATCATTAATATTTTTTGTTTTTTCTTTATTCTCTTTATTATAAGCAGACTATTTCTTGATGATCTAATTCAACAACGTAAATTATTGCGAAAAATTACTCGAAATTCGTTACTAGGTATCAATGATCATCGAAATCTTATAAATCAATCATTAAACGATATGGTACAGAATGCTTTGAAACGAAAATTTGCCGTAAGTACAGCTGATTTTTTATTTAGCAAATCATTCACACTATTGTCCATCTACAGAATATCAATCATTCCAGCACAATGACATCAATGGATGAAAGTCAATTTTCCGACCGAAACGAATTCAGTATGTAAATAACAATGAAATCATAGACAACGATTTAAGTATATATGATGATTAATTTTTTTTTTATCAAGAACAATTTTTATTTTTCGTATTTATGAAATGAATTGTAATTTGTAATTCTTTTACATTAAACTATATATTTAGATTTGATTACTTTTGTACAAAAATAATTATTTTCTTGCCGGTTCAGGCATTTGAAAAATTTTAATAAATTGACTGTGATTAAATTGTTGTAATGATAATGGTGAAAGAAAGATGAATTGTTTATTCGATTTAGTAGCAGCGAATTCAACCAAACTATCCAATGTGATATGTCTTGTGACCATGTCCATGAAAACATCAACTTCATCAAGAATTCGGAATGGTGATGGACAAACCTGCCATAAAGATATAATGAAAGCAACGGTAGAAAATGAACGTTCGCCACCGGACAAACTTTTCGTATTTGAAAAGCTATGAATTTCTTGACTCGATTTATATTGTGATTGTGATAAAGATTTATGTGGTCTTATGACAAGATCCAATGTTTTTGCTTTACGTTTTGCTTCGCTTTCACCATTACTATTAGATGATTCATGAAACTTGATATCAATATATCCTTCAAATTCTTTATGTTTCAGGAATTCTTGAAAATGAATGTTGACCATTTTTTCTATATATGATATCAACATATGATAAGCAGTCTCACGAGATTTGCTTGATGTTTCCAATTTGGAAAAATATGTATTTAAAGCATCCAATTCAATCTTGACATTGCTAGTCGATTGTTGTAGTTTGTAAAAGGATTCAAATGTTTGTTCTTGAACTTTTGGATCCATTATGTGTTTATTTATTTCAAGATATTTTTCTATATCACTAATTTCTTTTCCAATTTCTGCCGAACTTCTTGTTGTTTCAATTCTTGTTTCGGTCTCTTCTAATGCCAATTGTTCCTCTTCATGAAGTTTTTGCTGATGAACTTTGATTTCATTTTCCAGCTTTGATTTCGAATCCAATAATTTTTCGTAATCATTAGTTTTCTTTTCTGATCTATTCATAAGAACTCTTTGTTTATCATTTAATTTTTCAATTTTTTCGGTAATGGGATCACGAGATTCTCGAAGATTTTCATATTCTTGTTGTTTGTCATCACATTTTTTCAATAACTCGTTATATTTATTTTTAAGGTCATCACGTACAATCGCAAGTTTCTGGAGTTGATTTTTCAGTTCAATTTGTTCCTCTTCTAGTTTGAAAACCTCATCTTTTAAGGCTACAGCCTCTACCGGTTTGATGGCAGCTTTTGCCTAAATCAAAAAAAAAATATATAAATTGTTATCAATTGAAAAACACGATCAATAATGAAAGATAATTTACCTCCAATTCAGAACGTTGACTTTCCAAATCATGTTGTTCAATTTCGCATTGACTAATTTCATGTGAAATCATTGCGATTTCCTTTTTATTCTCCTCTATCAAACGATTTTGTTCACGAAGTTGATGACATAAATTTTCAATTTTTTCTTGGAGAAAATCAATTTGTTTACGACAATTTTCAATAGTTTGCGTATGATTTTCGACTAAAATTCTTGCAAACTTATTCTGATTTCTGTTAGGATATGATTTGTAATCACTATGATTTGTCGATGGATACATTAAATCCCCATCGGATGTATAGCAGCGGATACAGTTGTTCGGTACCAATTCTCGTCGAGACAAAATATGTTGTGCTTCGCGGTAATTAGGAATATAAAGAACTTGTTCGACTTTCTGATGATCGATAAGGCAATTGGCAACCGGATCATCTTCACGTTTGATATTCAATAATTGAAGAAAATTTTTATAATTAGGTGAAATTGCTTGAGATCTGGATACATTATGTAATGGAACAAATTTTCTTATAATTATTGAGGGTTTACTCAGTAAATCCCCTCTGAATAATCGACTAACGAGATCTTTTAGGATACAAGCATCAGCATCATTATCGACAACATAGGCAAAAAGCATCCTTTTCAGAAAGATTTCAACAGCATATGCAGCTTTATTGTCGTTTAATCGGATATATTCACCAATAGGTCCGAATGGTTTGTGTTTAAATTTTTTGTTTTTATGTAATAAATCAATTTGTTTATTCAATTCGGTATATTTGGGACCATAACGTCCCAAACGATTGTTTTCAACACTTCTTAAACGAAGAATCTCACTTTGATTAACTTTCATTTGAGCTTGATTTTTTCGAACCTCTTCTTCGATATGAATTTTTTCATTGACCTGTTGATCCTTGAGTTGTTGCAATTCAATCAATTTTAATTTTAATGATTGATTTTTGGATTTTTTACTTGTCATTTCTTCATCAAGTTTTTTGATAAGATCCTCTATATTTAAATGTTGACATTCTTGGCTGTTCGTTTCGATTCCATCGATCCTTTTACGAATACCATTGATTTCTGAACGACATTTACTCAACTCTTTTTTAACAACATTCATTTCCGATTCTTTTTTAATCAATTGAGATCGCATATCCTCTGATTCCTTTTTTGCCATATGAGAATCATTTTGTGCTTGTTTGACCATTGAAGTAAAATTATGCAAACGTTCATCTAGTTCGGCTTTTTGTTGATTAATTTCATTTATTTCTTGTTGAATATCGTTCCTTTCGTTATCATATTTTTCTATATTCTTTTTATTATCATCCAATTTTGCAATATTTTCATTCAATTCTTTATAGTATTCATTAATACAAGCCCAATGTAATTCATTATTTAATTGTTTCATGAGATTCACATTGTTTCGTAGTTTTTCGATTGTGTTAACTTCTTTACGATATTTTTCTAATTTTTCGTTGTAAGATTTAAGCAATTCGTCTTTTTCCTGGTAAAAGTAAAATTAATTATTAAACTGTCAACAAGTGAAAAAAAGAGAATAATTACCGCAATCTTTTTTTTAGAATATTCATAATCTTCTTTACAACTATCATACAATCGTTTCGTTTCTTCAATCTGGGTGGCTTTGATGAAAAATTTAAATTTGTCCGAAGCATTTTTGGAATTGAGGAAATTTTTTGAAATTTCTTGTGTAAGAACACAAATTGGATTATCGATAAAAATGCAAAAATGGGACAGAATATTATCCAATTCTTCTTTCTTTTCTGAAATAATCTTTCCAGATTCTGATTTCAATTTATAGGAACTTGTACCATTTATGCTGATTGTACGTTCAACAATAATAGTTTTACCGTATCGATCATATTTATAGCTTTCATCTGTTGATTTTCCATCAATAAAGTTGGCTATTTTCAATGTTATTTGGGCTCGTGATTCACCATTTTTAATGAACAGTGAAAGGCCAGAACCACGATTCGTACAACTTGCACGGCCACCAAGACCTAGTACAATACCTATTAGTATTGCCGATTTTCCACCTGTTAAACAAAATGTGGATTTATTCTTAATTCAAGTGAAAAACAAACAAATACTTACTTCCATTTTGTCCGACAATGAAATTGATTCTAGGTCCAAATTGCAAATGGAAATGTTTATGACACATGAAATTTTTCAAAAGTATTTCACGGATATGTCCAATATCACCGTTGTGGATGTCATTTTGATTCGAATTGATAGCACTATTTGCGGCCATCGTACTTTTATAAAAAGATGCCATTGAAAAAAAAGTAGAATGTAGATAAAGACTATATAGTCTTCAAATTTTTTTTATTCCACGATACACCAAACTTTAAAGACAACTATCAAAAGCAAGGATTGTAGAGAAACGACTTGTGCAAATATCGAGACAAAATAAAGATATACCGTTTGAATAAGACCGAGTGACAACGTGTGGCACGTCTGCACATGTGCACATCTGTCGAGAGAAAAAATTTTGGGAACGTTGTTTTTGAACTAGCTTTGAATTGCACTGTCATAGTTAGGTTAGGCTGAAAAATTCTGTTTAAAAAAATTGGGCAAGTATACTCACAATTTTTGTTTGCAGATAGCGACACATGACTAAACAATATTTTTGCTTGTATACAAGATGATATATATCTTATCGATGATGGTTTTAGAGCAATCAAAAACCAAATGGGTTCCATTGCAAAATGTTCATTGGCCATTGTCAGAGCCGGCCGAGAAAATTGCGAGGCCTTGTGCAAAAAAAAAAATTTTGACTCCCTTTATGCCCACCGTAAGCGGATGTAAAATTTTTTCAAGTGTGTTTAAAAATTCAAGGCGCAGGTAAAAAAAATAGAAACTTTAAAGAATTCAAATGATGATGATACGACTTGATCATTATTACCAATAAATTATCGAATAGTATTTGATGACATTTGTTGTCAACATCATCATTTTCATCTCTTCATTATTATGCTAAAAAAAAAAAATTTCATCATCATAATCATCATCGTAATTCTCATTGTGGCTTTCATTAGCAGCAAAAGCAGTTACATCGTCTTGTTTTGTATCGCTATTTTTTTTTTTTTTAGGTCGTAAAAATTGTTTTAAATTTTTATTTTATTTTTTTCATTAAAAATTATTTCGTAATATTTGCTTGTAAAATTTGAATTGTATGTGCACTGTGGAAGGTCGACCATTGTCAACATAATGTAATCATCATCATCATCAAATCTCGTTGTTATGATGATTACAATGAATGACAAATATAAAATATAAAAATCTAATAAATTATTGTTAAATATTTTGGAATGAAATGGTCCAAATGTGTGTGTGTGTGTGTGTGTATCATAATCCAATGAGACATATTCAAATGACAAATTATTTTTACTTCATCATTTGCATTGTTTTTTTTTTGGAATTGTTGCCAGAAAAAAAAATTTTGGAAACCAAGAAAAATTATCTGAATAACGACACATGTGTGTGTGTGTGTGTGTGTGTGTGTTGGAAAGATCATAATAATAATCCAATCAAATTCATCATACCTGCCAACAAAAATGATGTATACATTTGGTATATATAATATAATATAATGATGATGGGAAATGAAAATAGAAAAAAAAACAAATTTTTCTTTATAAATTCACACGAATGATTCGTTTTTTTTTGTTACTAACAAAAATCAATATCTATCAAATCAATCAAGGAAAAAAAAATACAATGAACAAGTTCTTATAAGAACTTGTTCGTATAGTAGTTTGTAGTTGTCATAATCATCATTCACCATCATCATCATCATCATTGAAAACACATTCATTCATAGTATATGAAGGAAAAAAAATTTCAATGTTATCGATAATGGTTGCTGTGCTCATGATGATTCGAATTCATGTGACCAATCTATTGGTTAATTCTAATGATCAGAATATGTTTTTGAATAGGTTCAAATGTGGTCTAATATTTTTGTGGACATTTGTATTTTGCAACGGTAAGTTTTTTTTTAGGATTTATTTATAAAATTTAAATTAAACAATCATTGATGTCATCATCATATTCATCATGGCCATCGTTATGTACTACAAATTTTTTTTCTGTTCAATTTTTTTAATTTCGTCAATTCATTTGAATTCAACAGATTAACAACATGGATATATGCTTGTTGCATTGAAAAACAAATCCTCATCGATTTGATTATTGATCATATAGGCAACCATCATCATCATCATCATTAATTGCCATAACAACCATATACTATCATCATTTTCAAACCAACGGATGCGGCCAAATGTTCATTATAAAAATATTTTATCCATTGATCCAAACCTCACAATGCATATAGAAAACCATCAACACAACCCCGAACAAACGAACACACACACAAAACTACGAAGTAATCAAACACATTGCAAAAAAAAAATTAAAAAACCCAATATATAACATACAACAGATTTATGATCATCTTTGTATATATTTATTTTATTATTATTTCCTCTTTTTTTCATGGTTTATACATGTTGGTGGTTGTAGATCTTCCTATGTATGGCATGGCATTTGCGCTATTGAATCCCATTTTTTTTCCCACCCTTTGTATATTTGTGTATATTTGGCTCTTTTTTTCCCTGTTCAAACATACACACACAAACATTTGATCTGCTATAGCACACACACACACACACACACAACTTGCTTGTATTTTTCTTTTTCTTCTTCCCAATTCACCATTTTCATCATGTAAAAATGATGTGATATCCTCTCATCGTCGTCGTTGTTGTAAACGCGGCTATATGAAGTTCCATTCAATTCTCTCACATTTTTTTTTTTTTTTATTCATTCACTATTGAAAATCAACATCACGCCAAAATTTCATTCAATTCAGTCGTCGTCTGTTAGTCAATGACGGACGTCGTCCGTTTATATGCAACCATTTATCATTATCATTATCATCATCATCATCCTATCCTATTCATTATGACGCTTGTATTCATTATTTTTAGTATTTAAATTCATTAAACAAAATTATCAAGTTTTTTTTCTGATTGAAAAATTCTAATTTGTGTGTGTCTCTCTCTCTCTCTGTGTCTGTGTATGAAAGGCTTGTTTAGGTTTTTTTCTTTTCAATCTCCTAAATGATCATGATCATTATACACATCTATTCACGAATTTCATCAAAGAAATTGAAGAATTGTCGACAATAAAGTTTCAACAATAACGACAATAATCATTCAATGAAAAAAAAAATGTTCGACAATTTTATTAATCATTCTAAGAGAGAATATCCACTAGTTTTTGGTTCGATTGTATAGTTCATCTTGCTGATAGCTTGTTATTCATGTGTATATTGTGTTTGGTGTTCATGACGGTCTGGACCACAGACAACAACAAACAGCTTTGACAAGTGGTTTTGGAAACAACATAACAACAAGCAAAACGAATTTTAGTGTCGGTGCTATTCTTTTTTTGGCTCCCCTAAAGGCCACTAACTGTGTGTATGTGTGTGTGTGACTACAAATAGGTTGATGATGATGGTCACCTGTTGTTGTTTTGGTTGTTGTTGTTGGTCAGTTTAGATGTGATTTTTATTTCCATCTTTTTTTCCCGAAATATATTCTCAATGTGTGATCATCATCATATATTATTTTTTATTGTTTTTTGTGTTTTTTTTTATTATTATTGTTATGTTAATTGAATTGATTGTTGTTTGATGCCATTTTGTTGTCTGTCTACGAATTTCTATTGTGTCATTCAAGAGAGAAAAAAAAATATATATATAATTGCATTATAATGTGATGATGAATTTATAAATGTGAAAAATAAAATCTCAAATACATTCATCAAAACAAAGCATAAAAAACAACAACAACAACAACAAGTTATTATTATTATTTATGTGATTATGTCATAGTGGCAAAAAAAATTGCTTGAAATGGCTAAAAGGGAAACCATCCATATTATGCATCCATATTAAAATTAATTACATTTATAATAATTATCATCATTTAGCATTGACCTCTATTGTTTTTAATTTTTTTTTGTTGAAATTTTTCATTTCATTTTAGTCTCTCAAAAATCTTCCCCACACATATATAAGCCTTTGGCTTCGAGCTTTTATTCGTGTTCGTTGAATATAAATTTTTTTCCCTCCCCTTTGTTGTTATACTTTGATTTTTGTTCTTGTTTTTTTTGCGATTTACATAATCAATCCGTATGTGTGTGTGTGTGTGTGTGGTGTATTGATGTTTTTTTTTCCTTTTTGGAAAATGTAATCTGTTGTTTTTTTTAAACTGCTGCTTGTGATCACCGATAATCATCATCATAAGTTCCAAAATGAAATTTTCAATTTATAATTTCAAAAAGTGAACTAGCGAAAAAAAACACATTCCAACTATATCATCGTCATCATCAATATTCAACACATTAGGTAAATGGAATAAATAAATATATAAATTGAATTTTGTTACTAATGTTTGAAAATTGTCATAAATGTATGTTTGTGTATGTTGCAAATACTGAAATAATTGTTACTCAATTCTGAATTTTGTAATCTTAATCCAATGATGATGATAATCCATGTTAAGTGGGAGCAGGTTGTGTTGTATTTCAATGGTTTATCGTGTATTCAATTTTTTTTTTAAATATTTTCATTGTAAAAATTAGAAAATAAATCTTCACCATAATTGTATTTCATTGAATTATTACCAACATCATAATCTTCATCATTAAAAAGAAACTTGGTAATCTTTTTTTTTTTCCTATATTAATTGATGGCCATTGGTCATGTTATGTTTATAAAACCAGTGATTGATTTAAATGTTGATGATAAATAAATAATTATGAATTTGATTTATTCACAAAAAAAACTAACGTTAATTTCGTGCTCAGACAACAACAACAACAACAACAACAACATTCGGATTGAATTAAACAAATCTGAATTGAATGTTAATGATTGTCAAGATATTTTCATTCGTCATCATGATCATTGTTGTCGTCATATAACTTGTTTGTTGTTTTGTTGTTGTTGATGGTTTTGATCTTCATATCTTCGGACTAATTCCTGTTTTTAAATGATTTTCGGGTTGATGTTGATGAATTATACTCGATGTTGACCCTTCTTTTTTTTATTCATTTAATGTAAAGATAGTATATCTATTTTAACCTGAATAAAATAATGATGATGTTGATGATGGTTTTATTGAATCCAGTCCTGTTTTGCCATTTTTCTTGGTAGCTAAGGTAAGATATTCATCGGTTATTAACCGTACATTCCGTACATTTATCTTCTTAATTTATTCTATTCGCCATAGGCTACATAGTTTATTAATCGTTTTGTTATTTAACCGAAAATAAGACCGTTGACCTTTCAATCGTTATTCGTTTAAATCTCAATATGTTGTATGTTCGTGTTTAGAGATTTTTTTTTTTGATTT